GAAAAACTATTCTACAATGGTTGTTCAAAATTATTCATCTAATGGTTTCGTAGTGGTCATAATTTTACCTTAACTCATAAAAATATGAAAACTTTTCTGCGTATTTACAAAATCAAGAAAAAAATAATTTTCAATTATTTAGAATCAAATCAAGATAAAAATAATCTATTTTTAAAGAAATTGAAAAAATAAATATTAGTGTACTTTGCCAATGTAAAGTTGATTATTTGAGTTAGAGATTGAGAAAGGCAAAAGTTGTGTGCCTTAACACCTGCAAAGTCACAGACACTAAAATTAAGTCATTCAGTGTGATCAGCATTAAAGTCACCAACCACAACAGAATTGGCTGAATGATAAAGATGAGTCAATTTGATCAGAAATCGAAAAGATTGCAGTCTTGAGATGACTAATAGCCATATAGAACACAGAGAAAGGTGATAGAGTGAAGTGGAGCTAAACCAAAGCACATAAAATAATAATCTGTAGATTTAAACCTAGTTTCCCTACAAATGGGCATATTCTTAAGAATATAAATACCCAGACCAAACATGTGACTATTGGAGTCTTTACAAATTAAAGGAAGATAACCAACACTAAGTTCACAAGATGAGACAGCTGAAATCAAATTAGTCTCACAAAGAGCAAGTAGGTCTGGTGAACTTTGCAAGAGATAAGACTCAAAGGGGAAAAATCACAAAAAGACCACGAATATTAGTGAGTGACTTAGAAAATTCTTTTAATTTGAAATTCTTTAATTCAAAAGATCATTTAAATCAAACAAATTCTTCTGTCCATAAGGTTTATTATTCCTTTAATTCGAAAACTTTTGTAATTTCAACATATTTTGAGACCCTATGAGGATTTGAATTACATGAGTTACATACAGAGTATGTTTGACAAGTTTCTAGACTTTGAATTTTTCAGACATTTATGACTTAAATGATTAAACTTGGATATCTATGCCTCAATCATCAAAGCAATCAAATATTTCTTATAATTAATAAAATGCTCTGAATTTTGTAGTAACTAATCTTTGCTTGACCAAGGTTCTGCTCTGGGATACAATTAAACAGTTGGGAGACGCAAAATCAAACATTTACAATATGATAAACTAGTTTTTGAAGTCTAGAACAATTGAACAGAAGTCAGTTACAACTAAAAAACTCATCCAGTCCTAAAAGATTGAATTCAGAGGAAGCCAGCCAGACCAAAAATAGTTACAAAAAAAAAAAAAGGTAAATAGTAAATAGCAAAAAAAAGCCACAATAGGCATTTTGAATGACAAATGCAAAGCCTTGAACTGCATAATACTAAACTTCTGATAAAAAAAAGTAGTCTTTCAACATGATGGTGCATTATGTCAAAAGACCTAAATGACTTAAAATTGGATAAATAAAAAACCCAGATCAAGTCTGTGATTCAAGCAGAAGGGACGCATATTGAGTAATTTGTAGCCAATGCAGAGAACTCTTGTTTTAAAAAATGAAATAACTGAAGACTCCTAGTCATTTTATTTGAGATTTTAGAACCAGTTCAATTTAGTTCGAAATTCCTCAAGCATACTGCATAATGCACTTTTATACACCAGGTGTCTAATCAATCATTATATCGGTACTTTTAAATACTGAATAAACTAATAAAACTTACTTAAAAAAATACTGAAAATATTGCAGCTACAACGGGAATGCGTAAATGCAGGCCTTGTTAAGAAGTGTTATGCCATCTGAATTTTGCGTAAGAAATTGCGATTTATGCATCAAGTCATTTATGTTATGGCAAAACTTTTTTTCAATTAGATTATTCAAACATTCTTTTAAAATAGTTTATGCGGAAAACATTAGGCAGTAATTACTTGTAAAAAACACTTGTTTTTTTAGTAGATAAAAAAAACAGATAGCAAAATAATTTTTTTTTCATTTTCCGTTTAAAAAGTTTATTAAAACTACTTAAAGGAACCCAAACTTCCAACACATGTTGTGTTCATATTAAAGATAATGTTAAAAAAAAAAGGTTTGAACCAAGTTTTTTTATTAAAAATAAATAATGAATGCATACCAATAAAAACTAATGTTGTTGTTTTAGCCGAAGCTCGCCTTCTCAATTTTATTCAATAACTCGGAGTATTCAAATTATACGTCGCAATCTACATATTTCGGCGATTCCTTTGAAGCACATATAACTCATAAAAGTTTTAGTATTTGACGACACAGTAGACTTATAACAAATGAAACTCTGGAAATATTTTTATTAATTTTTATTCAAAATTTTTTTGATCATTTGTTTAGATTTTTTTTTTTTTTTTCTATTTTTAACATTTAAAAAGATATTAAAAACTTCAAATATTTTATGCTGGTTCATTGTTAAATTGTTATTGCGCCATATATTTATGTTATTTATAACAAATGTAGGTAAAAAATAAATAACTAAATAAAAAGTTCAACATTAAACATCATTTCTTTATTATATTGCAACTGTAAATATTGAAATATTAACTTAAGCTAAATTTACATTATTTAGAATGACTAAGCAATAAAAATAAAAAGCCCCTAAAATTATGCGATATTGTGTTGTTTATTTGATAATTGTTGTTGGTAATGCTTTTTATGTTGATTATTTTCATTAATATCAAAGATTAATCTGTTAGTTGCTTTGCTCATATTTGATTTATTTCTAATTTAATTTTATCTCTAAGAATAATTTTATGTTAAGAAAAAAAGGTTTTTAATTCAACGCGCGCTCTTTTTATAAAAGAGTAGAACAAAAGAGAAAAAAAAGTTTTGCATAATTAAACTTCGAACGAATAAGAGTTGAATAGAATACATTTTATTTTTGCGTCACTCGTTCTTTTTTTAGATGAAAGAAATTAAAGTTTAATAGTAACTTTTCTTTGAAGAAATGAAAATTGGAAGAAAAAATTGCTTGAAAGTTTGTATTTGTTAATTGTGTTTTTAAAAAATTTTTAATTTTTCATGTTAAGAGACAAATGCAAAATATGACACAAATTGGGAAATACCAAATATAATGTTATTTAGCGCACGTTATGATATTTTGACAATTTAAATTACCATCTATCTTGAATTATTGCCATTAACTAATGTGTTAATTATTACGTTATTTAATAATAATTTGTCCGTATTTTTGTTAAATATTAGTTGTATAAAACGGGCAATATTATACAAACTTCATGTTTTTAATTTGATGGTTATAAAATATTGAACAGTAAACTTATAATCAAAATTTATAATGCCGACTTGTGTTGCTATTAATTGTACTTTTAATGCAAAACCAGGATCTCACATATCCCTTCAGTTTTCATATCTGATACTACTGTCAACTCTATTGTTTAGTGTATTCTTGTACTTTTTTTTCATAACTTTAACAGGTTCTAATTGGTATGGAGTTGCCGACATTTCAAAAGTTTCATTATCAAAAATCAAATGTAAAATAAAATGATATTTCCTTTTTATCGGTATCCAATTAGGCATATTTAGCAATTTAAATTAAATCAGCGTGATCAAAAAAATTTTATAATAAAAAAAGTTAACAATTCATCAAATCTCTAATTAATACTGTCAGTTAATGAAAGTAATTGTTAATAAATACTTTTTTTCAACAGGAAAACAAAAAATGTCATAGAGTAAAAATAACCAGAAGTTAGAAAATAGTTCCCATTGTTTAAATAAAAATAAGTCAGAATCAGAATATATAATACTGCACTCTCTTGCACAAAAACGAGAGACTGTATATAAAATGTTCTATATAAAGTAATATACTTGTATGAAAATCATAATATCGGTAAGTAAAGCTTTAATATTTGTTTTAATTTAAAAACAAAAGAAATATAAGTAAGATATATAAATCTAAAAATTATTAAGATATCTGTAAAAAATAAGTTGTTCCTATAAAATAAAAATAATTTATTGTTTCTACTTTTTACAAAAATTGTTTGGCGATGTTTGGAAAAATAATACAAATAAATTTGTTTTGCTGTATGTTAAAAAAATACTACATTGTACTTTTTGAATTAAAATAGAAAAACGCGGCTTTGTGTAATTACACTTTTCTAATAAAATGGAGAAGGCGACCTTTGGCTAAAACAACAACATTAATTTTTCTTGGTATGCATTCATATTTTTAATCAAAAAAAACTTGGTTCAAACTTTTTTTTTTAACATTATCTTTAATATGAACACAACATGTGTTGAGAATTTAGGATCCTTTTAATTATAATATTTAATTTATTTTCTTATAAAAATTTTTAAGCTTTGTTTTAAAAAAAATTTTTACTGCTAAAATTTACAAACTGTATTAAAGAAAAGAAAATTTTTTTAAATGAATTTAATTCAAGTTACTAAAATGTTTGTATTGCATTTAACTATTTTTTTTATTTAGTTTCAAATCAATATTTTTTTTCATTCCAATACAGTGCTAATATACAAAAGTTCTTAATGCACTTTAAACCGTATATAAATGGATTACCCGATAAACCATAATTAAGCCTGTATGCAAAATTATTAGATTTATTAAAAATTTTCAAGAGAACTTTTTTAGAAAATTTTATATAACTAATTTATGAAATGTTTTTTTCAGTAATGAAATTTCTTATTAACAAAAGTTTTTTCTTTAATAATTTTTTGAATTGATCATAGAATGAACGTTGATTAGAAATGATTAACTAGTTCATTAGTATGCAAAAATTTTGTTAAAGCCAAAATGTTAAAAAAAAAATGTTGATAGGTTTTTTTTTATTGCTTTTTTTACAACATCTATGATTTGTAATTTGTAATGACACCTATGGTTAATGAAATTTTCTAAATTCATTTATTTGTCATCAAATGCCAATGTGATCTTTTAACTAAGAATATAATAATTACTATGTCGTATTATATAAATTCTTTAGACTAATAGACTAATAACAGACATTTTAAAAAAGTATTTAAATATATGTTTATAAATAAAATGTAGAAAATTTAATTAAGCAAAAAATATTAAAAACAAACCTTCTACTTTATGTTCTTCTTTCGCTAATGTAGCTGCAGTCGGCAAAGTATTTTTTTCTTCAGTTTCAACATGTTTCAAATTGGATTGATCAAAGGTTTTTACTTCTGCTCTAGTCGCAATTGCTTCTTCTTTTATAATGTCTTTTGTTGGTAGATGACATTTTATTTCAGGAGTGACATTTTTAAGTTTAGATGCATCAAATTTTTCAACTTCAGAAACGTCAGGTAAAACTTCTGGTCTTAACTCTTCTCTTAATGTTGCAGCAGTTGGAAGTGGATTTTTCTCTTCAGTTTCAACGTGTTTCAAATTGGATTGATCAAAAGTTTTAACTTCTGCTCTAGTTGCAACTGCTTCTTCTTGAATAACGTCTTTTGTTGGTAGATGACATTTTACTTCAGGGGTGACATTTTTAAGTTTAGATGAATCAAATTTTTCAACTTCAGAAACGTCAGGTAAAACTTCTGGTCTTAACTCTTCTCTTAATGTTGCAGCAGTTGGAAGTGGATTTTTCTCTTCAGTTTCAACATGTTTCAGATTGGATTGATCAAAAGTTTTTACTTCTGCTCTAGTTGCAACTGCTTCTTCTTGAATAACGTCTTTTGTTGGTAGATGACATTTTATTTCAGGGGTGATATTTTTAAGTTTAGATGAATCAAATTTTTCAACTTCAGAAACATCAGGTAAAACTTCTGGTCTTAACTCTTCTCTCAATGTTGCAGCAGTTGGAAGTGGATTTTTCTCTTCAGTTTCAACATGTTTCAGATTGGATTGATCAAAAGTTTTTACTTCTGCTCTAGTTGCAACTGCTTCTTCTTGAATAACGTCTTTTGTTGGTAGATGACATTTTACTTCAGGGGTGACATTTTTAAGTTTAGATGAATCAAACTTTTCAACTTCAGAAACGTCAGGTAAAACTTCTGGTCTTAACTCTTCTCTTAATGTTGCAGCAGTTGGAAGTGGATTTTTCTCTTCAGTTTCAACATGTTTCAGATTGGATTGATCAAAAGTTTTTACTTCTGCTCTAGTTGCAACTGCTTCTTCTTGAATAACGTCTTTTGTTGGTAGATGACATTTTACTTCAGGGGTGACATTTTTAAGTTTAGATGAATCAAATTTTTCAACTTCAGAAACGTCAGGTAAAACTTCTGGTCTTAACTCTTCTCTTAATGTTGCAGCAGTTGGAAGTGGATTTTTCTCTTCAGTTTCAACATGTTTCAGATTGGATTGATCAAAAGTTTTTACTTCTGCTCTAGTTGCAACTGCTTCTTCTTGAATAACGTCTTTTGTTGGTAGATGACATTTTACTTCAGGGGTGACATTTTTAAGTTTAGATGAATCAAATTTTTCAACTTCAGAAACGTCAGGTAAAACTTCTGGTCTTAACTCTTCTCTTAATGTTGCAGCAGTTGGAAGTGGATTTTTCTCTTCAGTTTCAACATGTTTCAGATTGGATTGATCGAAAGTTTTTACTTCTGCTCTAGTGGCAACTGCTTCTTCTTGAATAACGTCTTTTGTAGGTAGATGGCATTTTACTTCAGGGGTGACACTTTTAAGTTTAGATGCATCAAATTTTTCAACTTCAGAAACGTCAGGTAAAACTTCTGGTCTTAACTCTTCTCTTAATGTTGCAGCAGTTGGAAGTGGATTTTTCTCTTCAGTTTCAACGTGTTTCAAATTGGATTGATCAAATGTTTTAACTTCTGCTCTTGTTGCAACTGCTTCTTCCATAATTACTAAATACATATAAAAAAGTATACATTTATTTTTTTCAACAAAGTTTTTTTTATCTTTTTAAGTGTATTAAACTTTTATATATCTTATATAATTTATATAATATAAATTCTAAAAATTATATACAACAATAGTCCTTTAAAAAAAATTATTAGTAAAATGTTACTTAAAAGCATTTCACTAATATAAAAACTTAGTAAAGATAAAAGTTTCAACATTAGTAATACAGCATGTTTTTGAAATATTTTTAAAAAAAAAGCCTCAGTCAAATCGTCAAAAAAAAAAACTATTTGTATAGCCACATATTGGCATGCCTTTCTTACCAAGCCTGCAATATATTTGTGATTAACAAAATAACTGTTTAGGAGAAATACAATTAACTCATTTGTAAAAAGTGGCATGATTTAAAAAATTGAGTTACTTTTACTTTACTTTTTTTCACATAAAATCTTGAACAAAAATGTTCAAAAATAAAAAAAACTTTGAAATTGATGAATATGTCTTATTTTCTTAATCACATTTATCAAATAGTTTATAAAATCTGCTGAATTACATAATTTTGTTTAAAACTGTATTGATGACAAAATCCAAAATATTTAACCTAAAGTAAGTAATGATTTATTCATTAAGTGAAATTAATCATATATTAGCAATCATCTGTTACTATTAAATCTATAATATTTGTATTTGTTTCTATCAACTTTTATATTTATATCAATTTATCTATTATTTAAATATCTATTATTTAATTCTCTTTTATTTATTATTTAAATTTTTTATGACAGGGTAAGAATCTTGGGTTTGACAATATATATATATATATATATATATATATATATATATATATATATATATATATATATTTTTTTTTAAACAAAACTTATATCTTTGCCATTAAGATCAAATATTTTTTTGACCAATTAGTAGAAAATACCTGTTTTAATAAGTCCAGCTCGCTTATAGAACCATCCCTATTTCAATTGATTGCCTTTGACAAGGCCAACTTAAAACATTCAGTAGCTGTAAAATCATCTATTTTTCTTTAAAAATTCTTACTACTGTTTATTGTTTGTATGATAAATCATGAAAAGCACAACATGATGAATCACAAATTGTTTGGCATGACACTTTTTACTACTGTTTCATTTGAATGTTTCAAAAAACTAAGCTGATAAAGAACATGTCTTAGTCCTTTAGTAAACCTTATTAACTTTGGAACTATTGTATTTCATTCTATTAAATTTTTAAGATATTTGTATTCAACTCCTACAATTAACTAAATCATTAACTCAAGATCTTTTAAAACCTCACCTTTTAACTAATGAACTATCCCAATTTTTAGAAAGATTTATGGGTAAATCTCTGATTCTATTAGCAGAGACTACTTTCTAACCATTTAACTGATCAAAGGAAAACTTCTTTATAACTACATTCTTAAAAGTATCTTCAATATTAATTTTTTTAAATGACTGATTACTTTCCAGAATTGGGTCATTTAATAGTTTACCAATACAGGCTTTCAATTTTTTACTTAAACCTCTCTATCAAGAGTTGCTATTAGGTGTTGTAGAAAAAGTTCATTTTTATAGAATGCAAAAACCAGCCATTTCAACTTGATTTCTAAATCATTTCAACTTGATTTCTAGCCAATGCACTGCTCCACCAGACTAACATCCTGATTAACATTAGTAGACTCACCACCTATTTCTTTTTTAAGCTTTTGTATTTGACATATTATTTTTATCAGCTCTACTTTAAAAAGCATACACAAAATAACATCTATGATAAAAGTTTATTTTTTTGAAAACCTTTAGCATAGATGTTATTCTATTGAAATGATAATTTTTGACAAATAATCATTAAATAAAACTTATTAGTTTAATAGTTCAGAATGATTATGTGTAAACAAACTTTAGCATTTAAAAAATGTTTACATGAAATACAGATTCTGTGGTCTAATTTGTTTCCCTTTTTTTTAAATTGTGAAAAAAAATTTTTAGCTTACCAAAAAAATTTTTTTAATCAGGTCAACCAAGGTATCAAAAGGAAGCATAATTAAATAAAAAATTTAAAAAAGTTTTTTCTTTTTATAAAAAAAATAAGATTTTAGATTTTATTGAATAAAAACTACGAGGAGATTTTTAAGATGGGTTTTCTGAAAAGAAACAAAATATTTTTTTAGAATCCTTATTTAATTACGCTTCTTTCGATACCCAGGTTGACCTAATTAGAAAAAATAAATTTTGATAATATTAGTGGGCAATAATAATTTCTTTCAAAATTATTACTTTTTTTAAATTTTATGTACTATTTCCCATAAATAAAAAAAATTTCTCTTGGAACAACTTCAAATCAAAAAAGAAAAAAATTGACACAACCTAGTGGTCTAAGTCAATTAAGAAAAATTACCCATTAATATGCAATTTAAAACACACTGGCAGACTAACATAAACAAAATAATATATATGACAAATTATTTAGTATGTCATTTTATAGAATTTTTTAATGCTAAAATCTGGTATATGGAAATCATGTACAATTATTTAAAACTTAATATATAAAAATATAAATAAAAAATTTAAAATTTAAAATATATAAAATTACAAATATTTTTAAATAATTTAAAATCGTTCTGATCATTTAACTTTAATTTGAAAAACTCATATTAATGTGTTTATAAACTGATACAGAGATACACAGCACCCTGTGGTATTGTAGAATAAGAAAGCAGATCAAACGCTAAAATTTATAAATTAAATGTAAATTACATTATTAATTTAACTTTATCTATTTTTTAAAGAACTTACATTCCTGTGAAGGTAACGTATTTTCAACTATAGGAGTCACATGCTTTAAAGCAGTTGAATCAAACTGACCAAGTTCCGAAACGACAAGTTTTACTTCTTCTGCCATAATTTTTTAAGAAATGTATACTTAATAAAAAAGAATCAAACAAATCTATGCGTAAGTTTTAACACTGGTGAAGCGAATTAATTTAAAGGTTGTCAGAATATCTTTGTTTAATAAACATGCGCAATAATTGTTAAGGAGGAACTCAATATTACATTTTTGATTTATAAACAAATTTTATCATTAAAGTAATTAACATGTTTAAAATTAATAATAGCATAAATTTAATGCTTCAAATATAATTTATATATATATACATAAAATTTTTAAATAGTTTTCAAAACGCAAAACTATTTTAAGCCATCAACCCTTATTTTGTTATATTAACACCTTTGTCAAAAAAGAACTTATTTGGAAATGAAAATGACAGCATTTTACTTATTTTAGATTTTCGTAATTTCATGAATGTACAGACAACGGATTATTTAAGACTAGTTCCAGTTGTTATTTCAGTTGTTCCGATTACTATTTTCATAAAAAAATATGTTTTATTCGGCGGTTCTTGAACTAAAAAATTATATATTTATATAATATATATATATATGTATATATATATATATATATATATACATATATATATATATATATATATATATATATATATATATATATATATATATATATATATATATACATATATATACATATATATATATATATATATATATATATACATATATATATATATATATATATATATATATATATATATATATACATATATATATATATATATATATATATATATATATATATATATATATATATATATATATATGTATATATATATACATATATATATATATATATATATATATATATATATATATATATATATATATATATATATATATACATATATATATATATATATATATATATATATGCGAATAATTTTTTTATTTTACAATTTTACTTTATTTACAATTTTGTAATTGTAAATAAAATAAAAAAAGATTAGACGCCTGGCCTTCGCAATAATACGCAATTATAAGTAAATGAACGAGCACAATTATTTAAAATAATCATATAATTTACTTTAAAATATAATTGGCGCAAGATTTTATATTGTTCTTTAAGCGTTCTCTGTACTTTATTACCCTTTACAATCTATTCGAAAAGTTGCATAATTTATTTTATAAAGAAATTCTGATGTTTATAGTTTTTTATTAAACCTGACAAGGTTTGACCAAATTAACAAATTATATTTTTAAATACCAGCTAGTTTTATTTGTTTTTATTTTTTTTAAGAATTTTATGAATGATTTTTAAGAACTTTATTCGATTTTGTTTTAACATTATTTATTTTTTTTTAATGTGGCCGGGACGCAGTGGTTAGAGCGCTTGCTTTATAAGCAGGAGATCGAGGTTCGAAACGAGCTTTGGATATATTTCGCGTCACGGTAAGGAAGGAGGCGTGAACTTCCTGGTCAAATGCACTTCCACGGTGCTCTGTGACAAGACCATAAGGACTTCATTGAGCACCTAAATAACAAATAATAATTATTTGAATTAAAAAAATATTACAAGTAGTAACTATAATATGAACTTTAATAAAAATTATTACTAATGGTAATTAAAGTTTATAACTATTACAGAAGTTATAAAAATAAACATAATATTTGGAAAAATTATGACAATAACCATAAAACTATTACTACAATGGAATCACTACCACTATCATTATAAACAATATTAATAAGGCTTCTAAAGCAAAGATAAATTAATGATAATAGTAATAAAAGTAATACAGTTAAAAAAATGATAGTAAATAGTAAAAAAATAAAAGTAATAATCAAGGCCGTAGACAACTTTTTTTGAAGAAAACATGAAGAAAACTCCATATTTAAGTATGTTCATATATATAATATATATAATATAAATTAAATCAATGAATATAAATTAATTCAAAAAAAAAACAACTTTTTTTGAAGAAAACATGAAGAAAACTCCATATTTAAGTATGTTCATATATATGACGAATGAGGATTCTATGCACAAAATTACGGTGATTGAAGACTGGGAACAACAAAAACCCCAAAACGTTAACCCCTCAGCCCCAATTAGAAGGGCAATTAGTCAAATTTGGAATATTTTTTTTAATCTTAAACTTAATTTATATTCATCGACGAATTTCAAATTTGATTCAATAATCTCTTGTTGATCGGCTTTTACGACCTTATAAAGTTTACAGCCCCCTCAATTTGAGGGGGTGTAAACTTTATAAGGTCGATGAATATAAATTAAATCAATGAATATAAATTAATTCAAAAAAAAAACTTAATCTGGTTTCAATTGAGAAGAAGTTGGTAATAAAAAGGTATTTAGTTAAACCTTTTTTTTTTATAAATGGTATTATTTGGTTCCAGTGAGAAATACATTGATGTTTTATAGAGAGCTTGCCATATTTGATAGTGTTGAAAGAGAAAGTGTGCAAATTAAAATTTTCTGTAATTCGAGGGTAATGTACCTATTTCAGATATTATATCGTAAAGGAGGAAATGTCATAATTCTTATCGAAGTACGTTGTAAATTGTTTATACGATTTAATAGAAAACTACTTTTTGACCCAAACACTGCAACAATAACTTAGATGGGAGGAGAACAAGGAATAGTGAATTAATATTAGAATATGTTGGGGAACATTGTGTCGTAAAAAGGACAACATACTATTGGCACGTGAGAGTTTTTTTTAATTGAATTAGTTGATAGTACCATGATTTTTTTTGTCAAGAAATACCCCGAGGTATTTTAAATATTTTATATCTCTCCTGAAGTACCTCTCCATTGTACTTCTTTGGTAATTTTTAATTCGTTTCATTTTTGAAAAAGAGCAAGTGTTAAAAAATGTGAAGAGAAATTTCGACGTTTGGAAAAACAGATGCAAGATTGTCATGAACCAAAGTTTCGTAAAGTTCAGAATAAGAGAACTGAGTTTTTGATGCAAATTTTAATTTGACGTAGCTGTGATATTGCCTCAATTCTGTATAAAAATCTTCTAAGTCGTTTAAATATAAACCAACCAAATTAGAAACCTCTTGTGAGGATAGTCATTTTCCGAAAGTTCAAAGAAAGTATCTCCACAAACTTCTAAATAAACTTTGCTTCGCTCATTAATCTCTCTCCTAAGCTTATCAATAATTACTATAAACCTGTTGGTATGAAAAATTTCGAGTAGATAACATAACGTACGGGGTATGAAGTTCTTTAGAAGTTCTTCTTTTTAGGCAAATTCGCGTTGTAACATTCGCATAATCAATACCTGGCAAGATTAATTTTGCTTTGTTTTCAAATTCATCAAAATTGTAACATACTTTCTAACGATGAGAACATCAAAGATCAAGTTTTAAGATCAATTTGTTCTGACTGAAGAGCTTTGCTTGTCGATCGAAAACTAAATATTGCTCCACAATACGAGCATGAAGACAAACTCAAAAGTTCCCATTTTATTTGCAATACATTCAGCTTCGTGGTGTCACTTTTTTGAGAAAGATCTTCAGTAATCTCATTCAATGCTGTCAAAATTGTTTTAAATGAATTTAAAACTGCTTCGATGGTATTTGCCTCCCAACGCGTTTTTGATAATGATTTGATTACTTTTTCGTTCCCGATGTGTTGTTTTAAAATATCCTAGCGATGCGTCGAATTTGAAAAATACATATACATTAATTGCACAATAGAAAAAAAATTAACTGCAAACAAGCAGCATTGTACAGAAATTTCTCCAACCAAGTTCAACGTATACGTAGCACACGGTATATGTACCGCATGCTCATTGAGATTAGACATTATTGCTTGCATCCCTCTGTACACTCCCAACATATTTGCGGCATTGACGTAAGACTGACCTCTACAATATTTAAAATCTATGTGACAAGTCTCACCTTAAAATTTTAAAACCTGTTCTGCAATTATCGCACCGACGTGACTTTTCATAATTAAAGATCTTAAAAATCGTTCGACTGGCTTTCCGTATTGAAACGCATTGAGCAACTGAGGAGTGGGCTTGCAAAACCAGATAATTTACTTTTCTTTCATTCTGATATCATGGCAAAAAATGTTTTCCAGTAAATCGAATAAGTAAAAATTAAAAGCTAAACAATAAATACCATTAAAAAATTTATTAAGACAAAAATTTGAAAATAGCGCTCTTTTGATCCTTATCTTTATTACAAAAATGAAAAAACGTTTCATCTGGTTTTGCATGCCAATTATTTTTTCTATCTGGTTTTGATAGAAAATTTATTTCCAACTGGTTTTGAAAAAAGCTTTATGAAGTCAACTTGATAGTGACGATTTTAAAAATCAATATAATTGTGCGGAACGTCCCTCAGCTACAGAAAAAAGATAATTTTAATGTTTGATACTTTTATAGGATTGATATAGTTAAAACTCAATTGTAACTGTTTAAAGATGGCTTTTGTGATTTTAGTGAATTTTTTTGTATTTGATTCTTTTCTTAAATAACGTTCTCCATTATTTAAAACGTTTTTAAAAATGCTGATTAAATAAAATTTTTGTCTTATCGCGACCCGAGTGCTTATTTATTCCATCTCCATTTTAAAATGTTGGGAGAAAATACTAAGTGACCTTATAAAGGTAACAACTATTTATGCAATAAATTTTAAATTTTAATAATAACTATTAAAAATATTATTTGCTATTAAATTTACTAATTATTTATAGGAAAAAAAAGTTAAGAAAATAAAAAAATCAAAAGTTTTTTTTTTATTTTTAGATTTTAACGCGGAAAAGTTCTTTTAACATTTTAAAATGGAGTTTAAATATATAAGCACTCAGGTCACGTTATATTTCATAGACAATAATTTTTTTCTAGTTTCGCACGGACAGAATAACTTAAGGCAGGTAAAATGTTATTAAAATAGTTGCTTTTAAATTTAATTTTTATGTTGATGTATTCTCCCACTTTTCAGGATCGGTTAGACGACAGTCCTTCTCAATAGTAAATTCATTTCCGCAAGTAAGAGGATCAGATCTAATTATGTGTTGCTCAAGATCATTCGAATAGCTATCATTCTGAGGGTTTGTTCATTTTGATGAGCAGAAGAATTGCTGCTGTCGAAATGAT